GTTAATATAACTTATTTATGAATGTGTTTATTAACTGCAATTTTCAGTTTCAACCATTGAGCAAGAAACTTAATTTTTTTTAAAACGAAACAAATAAACAGAGGAATAAGGATTTGTTAGTGATTTGCCAACACCAACACTGAGGCCAAGACATCAAATTTCTTATTGTCACTTCTAGAGCCACCATTTTATGGGAACATATTTTTGTTAATTCGGTAGACCGCTATATTACGATCGGTCGTTTGACGTGTATTAAACCCGAAGTAATGGCGTCGCGGACGCTCATGCACACGCCAGAGTAATCTCAAGATCCAGCGGTTGGGGTAGCCTAAAGGGTAGTTTGTCTTACAGACCCTGATACATATATGTATCAAATACAGCCCATGCAAGTCTGTAATGTTTGTCAAGTCTAGATTACTGCAGTATCTGTAAATGAAGAGAATCACTGGGCTCCCTTTTATTATATTTTTATTAAGATAACTGAACAACTGTTTTTTTCTGCACGATATGTTCATTTCAGAGACTAGATGTTAGTCTACCTACAGGGCAAAAGCGTTCGTACGTAACGCCGAAGTCTGGGTTCTGTTCCCAATTTGTGTGCATTAATGGAAGCCCTTTGGTGGCGTCACCCAATATATATCTGCCACCACGCGTCGTAGAAACCGTCATTAATCCACTCTGTCTAGGTTCAAATGACTGAGCATCTAATCCACTTGTAACATTGTGTTTCCCTCCAACCTTCATGCTGATCCATTGCAATATCACCAAGAAAAACACTTAAAGTTAAATTATCTTCTCATTTATCAAAGATCAGCATAACATTTCATCAAAAAGTTAAACACGCGACTTTGTTCATATAATCTTGATAGTCATGTAAATATGCGTATTTAATAGATCAAAGATTGTCTTTGGAACAACTGGTCGTCTTTCTATCTGAAATGACGTAGAAATTCGAGTTGCAGCATGAATACGGTCGTGATTAAATAAGTAACCTGCTGGTGTAGAATTACATCGTAAAATACGGCCCACAGAAACATGATCCTTGTCCCAGTCCTCTATTGAAACAACGCTTGTATTCCTGTGTTTAAAATTCTATTGTTGCGATCAGTTCTTTGCATAATGTGCGTGAACATTAACACTGTCACAATGTCTTTGTTCAAAAACCCTTATTCAAGGGCAAGGTACACCTTGAACAACCTGCTGGTCTATATTCAACTGGCCAAATCAACCACAACAGCGTGATCAGCTAGGAACCAGGCAAAATTAGGATACCGTTGTATCTCCGATCTGGCTCGTGTTTCAGAAGCTTGTGGTTTTGGATATACAATGACTTTACTGTGTGTATAGCTACTTAAGAAATTGGTCAATAGTTCTTTTTCAGGCATGAAGTTGGAAAACGGTGGCGCTAAGCATGCGAATTGACCATGTGATTTGAGTTCGCGTTTGTAACAGGCACAAGGATTATTGTCAAGTGTGTTGTATTTAGTTTGTGAGCTCAATAAGGAATGTCTTCTGTAGGTATTTGAATGCGGGTATCAATGTTGACTTTGTAGTGACATTGAGTTCAGGCAGTATGGCACATTAAAATTCGTTTTACGCACAAGTGATTGAATTTGATGCCATGTCAACAATATCAGACGATTGCCAACCATGCTGGGATGTTATGGGGAAAAAATTAATTGTAACAGAAAATTCTTGAAAAGTATAATTATGCTTTATACTGCTGATAAAAAAGAAATTGGCTACCACAAAAATTACAGTGTTGCAAGTTGTATTAAAAGAAAAAATATTTTTAGGTTCATAGCTTTATTTATAACAAATATCTGGCTAGCCCCCAAATTATGTATCTAGTCTCCAAACAAAATCCCAGACACTCATCAATGCCAAGGGGCGGTCGGGTAGCCTAGTGGTTAAAGCGTTCGCTCGTCACGCCGAAGACCCGGGTTCCATTCCAGACATGGATACAATGTGTGAAGCCCATGTCTGGTGTCCCCCGTCGTGATATTGCTGGAATATTGCTAAAAGCGGCGTAAAACCAAACTCATTCACTCACTCATCAATGCCAGACGCACTATTAGTCCAATAAGAATATGTGTGATGCTTTCATTGACATATGTTATCATCATTATCAGGATCAGCACCACGCAGATAGGCGTGAGTGAGTGAGTGAGTGAGTGAGTTTGGTTTATCGTGCCTTGAACAGTAATACGTGATATAACGTACGTCTGTTCAATGACAAGCCCAACTCTACGGAAGCCTTTAAGGGCCATTTGGTTATTTCTTTTTTTCTTGAAACCTCAAGATACTAAGTTAAAATTTCAAGACATATGATATACTGGGATTCGAACCCAAGGCCAGGATTCACGCACGGTCCTACACTAAATGCAAATAAAGCGACAAAATCCTTTCCATACCCATAAGACATGTCTACTGGAAGCACTATGTGCATGCCAGATATATTTGAACCGAGGAACATAATTATAGGAGGAACAATAACCATTGCCATTTTAAAGTAACTATAGGGGGCGAGGGTGGCCCAGTCGTCTAAGGCGCCGCCATTCGCTGCGCAAAGTTGCGTCCCTTGGGCACGCCAGAAACCTATGATTATGGGTTCGAATCCCGGTTCGCCCCGATTATGTTTCTAGGTTTGTCAGCACCATACCCGTGCTCGTGGGTTTCACCGAAGTGGTAAACGTCTGAGACCTGCATCACTTCGGGCTTTCCTCCCACATTAATCTGACACGCCGTGATATAACTGGAATATTGTTACAAGCGGCGTTAAACCCAACTCACTCACTCACATATAGTAACTATATGTTTAACAATTAGACCGCCACATTTCTACACTCTACCTTACCTGTGAAGATGCGGGTTGGAAGTGATCTCTATCAACCCATGCTTGTCGTTAGAGGCGACTAACGGGCTCGGTGTCTTGGCTATGCCTGTCATCGTATCTCCAATTGCGTAGATCGATGCTCATGCTATCAATCACTGGATTGTCGGCTCCAGACTCGATTATTTACAGAGCGCCAATATATAGCTGGAATACTGTTGAGTGCGGCGTTAAGCAAACAAAAAAAAAGATTGAAACAAACCATCTACCTTTTTTGTGTACCTTGCAGAGTAGACAGGTATATTTTAGACAATGCTTAGACAATGTAGTGTCTGTCTTGCTTAAAATAGAAGAAAAAGCTTGAATGGCTAAAATACCCTTCTGGGAATCTTCCTCAGGTGTAAGCTATACCATCATCCACGAGTCTACAATAGATGATAACATCGGGAAATTCTAAGATCACATGTTAGCAATAATTTGGAGAGATTGTTAGGGCCATCACGTCATGTGTAGCATTTAACACAATATCATCCAGGTCCGAACCCGTCATATCCAAAGCCAATTGGTATTCGCCGCCACTACCACAAGCTATTCGTTTCGTACAAATAAATACATCTGTATTTTGAGACAAACATTTGTATTCTAATGTACCGATTACCCAGTCTGGCTTCCCCGAAGGTTTCAAGGCTATCTGGGACTGACTGAGTGAAATCGGTTACGAAAAGATCCTATAAACAATCACCCTACATCAAAGACCGGTGTGGATACCGCACGCTGAGGTTCTCCTAAAGACATCTGCTCTAGTAAACTGCACGTACTCATACACCAGCTCCGTCAGCGATATTACATTCATACTGGCTCATGTTGTGTGAGAGCAACATCCATGGATCGTCATACCCTTCGCCTGGTCAGACTGTAACACTGCCGTCTGAAGGCGCACAACTCAAGACCCGAATAGCCACTCCGAAGCGTGGAGGCTTCAGTCCATTTGATACAACCGTGTGATAAAGGAATGCTATCCATTGTCGGCATACCGAGCTAGACTACTCTCAGTGGCTGGGCTGTTCTTCTCCTTGCCAGAAGACCCTTGTAGTGTCTGTCTTAAGAAGTGCTTTACACTGTCGTAACATTTGTCTTCAGGGGTGCTATACGCTGCTAGAACCGAACCGAACGTAGTACAAACTGGTGAAGAGTCTGTCAACAGAGGTATTATCAACTGGTATAGAGTTTGTCTTCAAAGGTATTATCAACTGGTGTAGCGTTTGTCTTCAGAGGTATTATGAACTGGAGTCTGTCTTCAGAGGTATAATAAACTGGTGTAGCGTCTGTCTTCAGAGGTATTACAAATTGTTGTAGCGTCTGTCATCAGAGGTATTATCAGCTGGTGTAGCGTCTGTCTTCTGACGTATTACAAACTTGTGTGGCGTCTGTCATCCGAGGTATTATATACTAGTGTAGCGTCTGTCTTCAGAGATATTATAAACTAGTGTAGTGTCTGACTACTGACGTATTACAAACTTGTGTGGCGTCTGTCATCAGAGGTATTATGAACTAGTGTAGCGTCTGACTACTGACGTATTACAAACTTGTGTGGCGTCTGTCATCAGAGGTATTATGAACTAGTGTAGCGTCTGTCTTCTGACGTATTACAAACTGGTGTGGCGTCTGTCATCAGAGGTATTATGAACTAGTGTAGCGTCTGACTACTGACGTATTACAAACTTGTGTGGCGTCTGTCATCAGAGGTATTATGAACTAGTGTAGCGTCTGACTTCTGACGTATTACAAACTGGTGTGGCGTCTGTCATCAGAGGTATCATAAACTGGTGTAGCGTCTGTCTTCCGTGGTATTACAAACTGTTGTAGCGTCTTTCGTCAGAGGTATTATAAACTGTTAAAGCGTCTGTCTTCAGAGGTATTACCTCCCTCCATCTCACTCACTCACTCACTCACTCACTCACTCACTCACTCACTCACTCACTCACAATAACTGACTGACAGGAAGTTTCCCAAAATCTGAAGGACGGCGTCCTTGGTCCATCTCAGCACTATCGCTCCCGCTGGTCCTGCAATACAGCTGCTGATGATAGCGCTTACACCGCTCACATCGCTTACACCGCTTTCATCGCTCACATCGCTTACACCGCTCACATCGCTTTTTGCTTACATGGCTCACACCGCTCACACCGCTCACATCGCTTACATGACTTACATCGCTCACATTGCTTACATGGCTTACATCGCTCACATTGCTTACACCGCTTACATCGCTCACATTGCTTACATCGCTCACATTGCTTACATCGCTTACATCGCTCACATTGCTTACATCGCTCACATTGCTTACATGGCTTACATCGCTCACATTGCTTACATGGCTTACATTGCTTACATTGCTTACATCGCTCACATTGCTTACATGGCTTACATTGCTCACATTGCTTACATGGCTCACACCGCTCACACCGCTCACATTACTTACATCGCTTACATCGCTCACATTGCTTACATCGCTCACATTGCTTACATGGCTTACATCGCTCACATTGCTTACATGGCTTACATCGCTCACATCGCTCACATCGCTTACATCGAAAGACTGAGCATCCGTGTATCCGGCTGGTAAGGTGTCAGAGGAAAACAGCACTTATCGCTACGATGTTCATTGTTCCAATCTAAGGAACACAACCCCCACAGTGTAGTCCTCATCCCGCCGTTCCCGACGACAACGCTGTATTTACCAAGAAAACTAATTATTCCAGAGTCTGAGGTCGATGTTGGAGACATGCTATCAGTTTCGTCTGGCACGCGACAACTATGTGCACTGGAGTAACGCCTGGTGCTCAAGGCGTGTTATCTCGCCTTGACGTCACATGACGTTTTTGGCGGTACCCACGTCTCGCAACAACGGCTAGAGGAATGTTGTTCATGGCTACATTGGTGTTGTGTAATAGTTACTACGGAGTTCCTGGCGTGTCTCGCAGCTCATACGTGAATATGTTGTGGGGATTGTCAAGGGAGACCACAACACCCGAGGAGTATATTGTGGAGATTGTCAAGGGAGACCACAACACCCGAGGAGTATATTGTGGAGATTGTAAAGGGAGACCACAACACCCGAGGAGTATGTTGTGGGGATTGTCAAGGGAGACCACAACGCCCGAGGAGTATATTGTGGGGATTGTCAAGGGAGACCACAACACCCGAGGAGTATGTTGTGGGGATTGTCAAGGGAGACCACTACACCCGAGGAGTATGTTGTGGGGATTGTCAAGGGAGACCACAACGCCCGAGGAGTATATTGTGGGGATTGTCAAGGGAGACCACAACGCCCGAGGAGTATGTTGTTGGAATTGTCAAGGGAGACCACAACGCCCGAGGAGTATATTGTGGGGATTGTCAAGGGAGACCACAACACCCGAGGAGTATATTGTGGGGATTGTCAAGGGAGACCACAACACCCGAGGAGTATATTGTGGGGATTATCAAGGGAGACCACAACGCCCAAGGAGTATATTGTGGGGATTGTCAAGGGAGACCACAACGCCCGAGGAGTATATTGTGGTGATTGTCAAGGGAGACCACAACGCCCGAGGAGTATATTGTGGGGATTGTCAAGGGAGACCACAACACCCGAGGAGTATGTTGTGGGGATTATCAAGGGAGACCATAACACCCGAGGAGTATATTGTGGGGATTATCAAGGGAGACCACAACACCCGAGGAGTATATTGTGGGGATTGTCAAGGGAGACCACAACACCCGAGGAGTATGTTGTGGGGATTGTCAAGGGAGACCACGACACCCGAGGAGAATGATGTGGGATTGTCAAGGGAGACCACTACACCCGAGTAGTATGTTGTGGGGATTATCAAGGGAGACCTCAACACCCGAGGAGTATGTTGTGGGGATTGGCAAGGTAGACCACTACGCCCGAGGGGTGTGTTGTGGGGATTGTCAAGGGAGACCACGACACCCGAGGATTATGTTTTTGGGATTGTCAAGGGAGAGCACTGCGCCCGAGGAGTATACATTGGCCAGGAATCCCACTACCTCTGGGAGTCGCAATATGAGGAATAGTCTCTGACACGTACGATGTGTGCCATCTAAGTTGCGCTCAGTGATATATTTCACTTTCCGATTATCCCTCGGCAGTATTTAATAAATATCACGTTATTTCAATTTGGGAGGAAAGTCCAAATGATGCAGGTGTCAGACATTTCCTCTCCACTCTCCCCTCTCCACTCTCCACGCCTTGATGACGACCCTTAGTTTGTCAGCAGAATACCCCTGGTCGTTGGTTCCAACACCGTAGTGTTCAACTACGGCCCGACCCACCTCACTCACTCACTCACTCACTCACTCACTCACCCACCCACCCACCCACCCACCCACTCACTCACTCACTCACTCACTCACTCACTCACTCACTCACGGTCACGCCCCGCATGGTCCGATTCCAGTTCAGCACCGAACAAAATAATCTGAGTGATCACTTTTGAGAATGTACGAAGATCTAATCGACAAGACACCGGAAATGGGCTTCAGGCATTGTACCCATGTGGGGAATCGAACCCGGGCTTCGGCGTGATGAGCGAACGCTTCAACCACCAGGCTACACCACCGTCGCCCTACAGAGAGAACTAGCCGCCAGAAGGTAATCAACGCAAGAACAAAGGGGTGTAATATATTTGAATGCAGGAGGAAGGGCAGCCCACAGGTTAAGTCAACCGTGGAAGTGCAAGGTGTGTTGATTTGATTTTGATTGACATATTTTGCAACAGGAAAAAGTTGTTTGCGTAACTGTATCACTCAGTACTTCTACACTTGGGCGGGTTTTGTTTCAGGTGCGGGAGGAACACGTATGTTTTGTTCAGCCCACTGGAGACGGTGATGTAGTTGTTGATCTCCCCGATTCTTGAGAATAAAATGTAAAATGAACCCAGCTCATGTCCCTACTGCCTCAGCTCTAGGTAAGCATTGTTCTGGGCTCCATTTGGATTTTTAAAACTATTTTCTAGGACTAAACATTAGTATAGTTGTTATTGGGAACACCTGAGTTTAGTCCCGCTGTCGCGCATTTTCTACGTCTTCAAATTAACGCCTGCATCTGGTTCAAGACGATCAGGACCCGTGAAGATCCAGGGTGGAATAGGTCTTCAGCAACCCATGCTTGCCGTAAAAGGTGACATTGCTTTTCGTAAGAGGCGACTAACGGGATCGGATGGTCAGGCTCGCTGACTTGGTTGATGCGTGTCATCGATCCCAATTGCGTGGATCGATGCTCGTGATGTCAATCACTGGATTGTCTGGTCCAGACTCGATTATTTGCAGACCGCCGTCATATAGCTTCAATATTGCTGAGTGCGGCGTAAAACAACAAAAATCAACAAACCAACCAATCAAGACGAACAGTAATATTTACTTTAACTGTGACCCTGATCCCTTCCTCATTATGGTAGCATGGCAGTGATACATAGACGGTGGCCCAGACGTCTGATGCGCCTTAATTCACCGTGTAGAGTTGTGGCCCTTAGGCGTAGAAGAATCCTGTGATTGTGGGTCCGAATTTCAGTTTTGCTTTGAGTCTGATTCTTGGTTACTCAGCGCCATACTCTGTGAATTTGACACGGCCTGGACTTTTTGTATGAAACTTACTATTTTTGTCAGCGCTTCAAACCAATTAGGGGTCCACAACACAATATTTTATACAAAGCAGTTCAATCGGGGCTACTTCAATGAGCAATGGTAGTCCTTGCAAGCATGGGATTTCCGTGGTAAGGATTGCGATCTTGGAAGACAGTTCAACTTTCACCTGGCTTGTTTAACAATCAAACTCAGATGACAGGGGGCACGGGTGGCCCAGTCGTCTAAGGCGCCGCGATTCGCTGTGCCGAGTTGCGTCCCTTGGGCACGCCAGGAACCTATGATTATGGGTTCGAATCCCGATTCTCCCCGATTATATTTCTAGGTTTGTCAGCACCATATCCGTGCTCGTGGGTTTCACCGAAGTGGTAAACGTCTGAGACCTGCATCACTTCGGGCTTTCCTCCCACATTAAGCTGACACGCCGCGATATAACTGGAATACTGTTTAAAACGGCGTTCAACCCAACTCACTCTTAGACTCACTCAGATGACAGCTCACATGCTCATACTATCCACCATCGGTTTGTCTGCCCCGGGACTTGAATATTGTTCAGACGTATATGACAATGGCGAGAGTGAGTGAGTGAGTTGGGTTTAACGCCGCTTTTAAACAGTACGGGTATGGTGTTGACCATCCTAGAAACATAATCGGGGCGAACCGGGATTCGAACCCACAATCATAGGTTTCTGGCGTGCCCAAGGGACGCAACTCTGCACAGCGAATCGCGGCGCCTTAGACGACTGGGCCACCCGTGCCCCCGACAATGGCGAGACAGTGATGATGAAGCGTACGCCATGAACGCAGGTCCTGATGTGAATACGAATGTGCAATGAAGGTTTCTTTCGAAGCATCAACTTACAAACATGTTTATTTAATGTTTAGAGAAATTCAAACATTAAATGCCATCAATCAGCATCTTTTCTCCAAATTCCTCTCCATCCTCCGCGCCCGTCATAACGGTTTCTAAATCATGTAACCCCAGATCTGACGATGTTAGAAGTAGCAAAAAAGACAAGCCTAAAAACCTCGACCCGTGAATTCCTAACGAAAACCTATATAGACAGATAGGTGGTTGTTTGTTTTTGTAACAAAGCGTATAGGAGTGAAGTAAGAGAGCTGTTAACCGCTGCTGATGGGGTTTTTAACGCAGGGATCAACCAGACCGCATGACGAGCTTCTCGGGACAATCCCGCAAGACTCGCAGGCAGCGGCTTGGCAAGAGATACGCTGCAACTTGCGAGACTTGGCTCGGATGTTTAATCCGCGGTGTAAAACTAACGAGAGCTGTTGTCGGGAGGCAGTATATATGTTGTCACGGTTAGGAGGATGTTATTACTATGTTACGAGCCCAGACAAAAGAAGGTTTGGCTTTTAGCAAAATGTTTTGTGATACGAGAGCAGTTCTTCATTCACATGTTCGAACTGACGATGATCGCAGAGTTGGCCTACGTGAGTGTCGGGTGTTTTTTTTAGCGGAACTAACTTATCAAGATGAAGCTTTCGCTTTGAAAACAAACAAGTTTTTGAGATTATTTTACGGTTCCAACAACACACGTCGTGGCATGATAGCTCTGAAAATAATTGCACGTGAATTGATAGAATAGACACGGTTTTCGTCGGCGTGTGTTGCTGGTCACAAGACCAGGGCCACACTGGACGTACAGTTGGTGATCTGAACACAAGACCCGGACCACACTGGACATACGGTTGGATATCTGAACACAAGACCCGGACACACTGGACATACAGTTGCATATCTGAACACAAGACCCGGACACACTGGACATACAGATGGAGATCTGAACACAAGACCCGGACACACTGGACATACAGTTGCATATCTGAACACAAGACCCGAACACACTGGACATACAGTTGGAGATCTGAACACAAGACCAGGGACACACTGGACATACAGTTGGTCATCTGAACACAAGACCCGGACACACTGGACATACAGTTGGAGATCTGAACACA